CAACCTGGCCTTGGACACTTCCAGGGATGGGGCATCCACATTTTCTCTGGGCAGCCTGTGCCAGTGCTTCACCACCCTCATATCCAAGAATTGATCCCTCATACCTAATCTAACCCTGCCCTCTGTCAGTTTAAAGCCATTTCCCTTTGTCCTGTGTAGTGGGTTGTCCCTGCCTGGATGCCAGGTACCCACCAAAGTTGCTCTATCACTTCCCGCTTCAACTGGACAGGAGAGAGAAAATATAACAAAGGACTCATGAGTTGAGAAAACAGCCAGAAGAGATCACTCACCAAATAGTGTCATGGGCAAAAAAGACACAACTTGGGGATATTAATTAAATTTATTACTAACAAAGTCAGAGCAGGATAATGAGAAGTAAAATAAATCCTAAAAACACCTTCCCCCCAGGCCTCTCTACTTCGTGGATTTTACCTCCTCCTCCTCCAGCAACAAAGGGAGATGGGGAGAGGGAGTTATGATCAGTTCATCACATGTTGTTCCTGCCTCTGCTCTGGGAGAGGAGTCCTTCCCCTGCTCCAGTGTGGGGTCCCTCCACGGGAGACAGTCTTCCATGAACTCCAAAACATGGGTCAATCCCACAGTCAACAGTTCTTCACAAACTGCTGCAATGTGGGTCTCTTTTCCATGGGGTGCAGTTCTTCAGGCACAAGGTGTTCCAGTGTGGGTCCACACGGGGCCACAAGTCCTACCAGGAAAACCTACTCCAGCATGGGCTCCTCTTTCCACGGGTCAGCAGGTCCCTGCCAAGACCCTGCTCCAGCTTGGGTTTCCCATGGGTTCACAGCCTCTTTCAGGCATTCACTTGCTCCAGCAGGGGCTCCTCCATGGGCTGCAGGTGGGTCTCTGCACCCCTGTGGTCCTCCCTGGGCTGCAGGGGCACAGCTGTCTCACCATGGGCTGCACCACAGGCTGCAGGGGAACCTCAGCTCCGGTGCCTGGAGCACCTCCTGCCCCTCCTTCTGCACTGACCTTGGTGTCTGCATTGTTGTTCACGTGTTCACACTCTGGCCGCAATTACATCTACTCAATAACTTTTGTTTTTCTCTCTTAAATACATTATCCCAGAGGTGTTACTGTCATTCCTGATTAGCTCAGCCTTGGCCAGCAGCAGGTCCATCCCGGAGCTGGCTGGCATTGGCTCTACCAGACATGGGGGAAGCTTCCAGCAGCTTCTCACAGAATCCACCCCTGTAGCCCCCACACTATCAAAACCTGGCTACACAAATCCAATATATCCTGTCATTCCATATCCTTGTCAAAAGATCCTCTCCAGCTCTGCTGAAGCCCCTGTAGATACTGGAAGAGGCTTTAAGGTCTCCCTGGAGCCTTCTCTTCTCCAGGCTGAATACACCCAACTCTCTCAGCTTTTATCCTGGCATATGGCTGCAAACAGTGGATCCAAAACTGCCCATCCTTCAGCCCCATGAAGTGCAGTCAGTAACACAGATCACTCCAGCACACAGCTCCTACTCGTGTGGCACGGGAGGAACACTCCTACATATTGCACATAAAAATTTCTCAGTGTCAATGATGTTGCCAGAATTTTCTTTATGAAACCATTATATAACAGATAAGACTCATAAAATGGAAATCTGTGAACTAGCCTGAGCACACACCTCTCTTTGCAAAGCACACATCAAATACACAGGTACTTTCACATCTAACATAAATTAAAAGCCCTCTTTTAAAACCAAGTTGTGTTTTTATGCTTCCAAGCATGCAGAAGACAGCACTGTCAAATGGAGAGTTTCCTTCTGAAAACCCACTGCCTGTGTGAATGGCTACTCCCCACGCTTCCAACAACACTGACCTCTTTGGTCAGTCTCTCCTTTTATGCCATCCATGCCTGTAGACCTTCTCAGAAGAAAAGGGATGCCTGAAGAGGAAAATTGCTTTCTTTACCCTTGCTTCCTCTACTTTTCTCTTCAAACCTTCCTTCTCATTCAGAGTGAAGGGCCATATCAGAGAATTACAGAATCACAGAATCAATTTGGTCAGAAAAGACCTCCAAGATGATCAAGTCCAACCTTTGAACAATCACCACCTTGTCAACGAGAGCACAGCGCTAAGTAACATGTCCAGTCATTTCTTGAATACTTCACCACCCTCCCTGGGCAGCCTGTTTCAGTGTTTAATCACTCTTTCTGTGAAGAAATTCTTTCTGAGGTCCAATCTGAACCTCTGCTGGGGCAGCTTGAGACTGTGTCCTCTCATACTGTCATTGGTTGACTGGGAGAAGAGGCCAACACCCACCTGGATACAACCTCCTGTCAGGGAGTTGTAGAGAGCTATAAGGTCTCCACTGAGCCTCCTTTTCTCCAGGCTGAACAGCCCCAGCTCCCACAGCAACTCCTCACAGGACATGCCCTCTCAACACTTCACCAGCTTTGTTGCCCTTCCCTGGACTTGACACAGCACCTCAATGTCCTTTTTGCAGTGAGGGGCCCAGAACTGGACACAGCGCTCGAGGTGTGGCCTCACCAGTGCCGAGTACAGGGGGACAATCATTTCCCTAGTCCTGCTGGCCACACTGTCACTGATACAAGCCAGGATGCCACTGGCCTTCTTGGCCACCTGGACACATCTGGCTCATGTTCAGCTGCTGTTGACCAGCACCCCCAGGTCTTTTTCCACTGGGCCACTTTCCAGCCACTCTGTCCCCAGCCTGCAGTGCTGCACAGGGTTATTGTGGCCAAAGTGTAGGACCCGCCCCTTGGTCTTGTTGAACCTCGTCCAATTAGTCTTGGCCTGCTGATCCAGCTTGTCCAGATCCCTCTGCAGAGCCTTCCCACCCTCCAGCAGATCAACACTCCCACCCAACTTAGTGCAATCCGCGACCTGACTGAGCGTTTACTCGGTAAAAGACGTATTACAAATAAGTCCTATTCCAACAGGAATAAAAAAAGCCATGGGAAATATAAATATCAAGGCTATAGAGTGAGAATAAGTCAACACGAATACAAACCAGTAAAAGAATGACATATACATTTTATCTTAAAATAAAAAACTGCACCAAGACCTCATGCCTTCTGAATTATAAACCATTTGGCTTTTGTCATATGCCATGTAAGCATTTATAGTTAATCTGGTCAATCCGGGATCGTTCAAGTCAAGGCAGAGAAACAGGTGTCAGTAGACCACAAATAATTTTATCTGTATATCTATATCTATATCTATATATCTGTGTGTGCATAGGTGTCTGTGTGTGTATACGTGGCCTAAATAAAGAAATATCATGGCTAGGCTTCGCGAACGAAGATCTGGGAAGGCTCTATCCGCATTTGCTACAGGCACGCTGGTGGCTTATGAGGCCAATACGTGACAGACATATCCGATTGCAAAAGGCACAGCAGAAAGATTCCTTAGATGGTGTATTCTGCAATATACGGTTCTTTCTGCGTTGCCTTTTTTCCTCAAGAGTGATCCTGCGTGTGAATAAAGAAATATACAGATACATATATTACATAATAATATATTTATTATTATAATATATAATACATATTTATTATTACACATATTTAGGCAATAGGGTGAGACAAACTGCTCTCTAAAGGGACTTGTTCCTTCCCATTGCCTGCCTCAGACACAGACACTTGCAGTCAGACAGATGAAACCCATCTTACCAGGCTGAGGTGGCTAAAAAAAGGCAGAAGAACGATTCAGGCTTCACCAATTCCCAGTAATTTATAAGTACATGTCAAGTATCGTGTGTGTTTGAGCCTGTCCTCAAATGCCTTTGCTCTGGGTTCTCTCGCTCTCTGCAGCTATGAAAGAAGCTGTCAAACTAATCAGCTGCCACAATCTGCAGCATCCTTGTCTGAGCTGGAGCAATAACGTAGTAACTGTTGTGGAAGGGACTAGCCCAAAATAGTTGGGAAGAGGGGGATGATGATGAATGCATGTATATAGTGAACTATAAGTGAATCCAGTCACATTTTCAGCCTGTGTGCAGGGGGGTAAATGGGTTTAATTTCCGAGAGGAACAGTTTGAGAAAGAGAAAAGCGTGACTGCATTTGACCCATCTGAGTAGGGAAGGGGTGGGGAGGACATCAGGTGTCTAGCAAAGCAGGTCTGTTTGTGGAGAAGGTGTTGTGTGGGCTGAAATGAGAGTGCCACCATCTAATATAGTTGGTCAAGTGGCCCATATGTACTCCTGGTCACTTGGGAGGGGCTGCAGTTATATTACCAATGCATCTGCTACATGCCAGGACAGGGAGAAGTGTTTTTGGGAAGCAGTTTCAGGCAGGGGTCTCTCCCCACCTGTCAGTGATGGGGTGCACTCCTTCAACCAGTACTCTGTAGGTGGAAAGTCACTCTATCCCCACAAGAATTAAGCTTCAATATTTTCTGCCTCCTTCACACACTGGATTTGAGTGTCCAGGCTTCCTCCTCTTTTGCCACTGGTGGTCTTGGAGTTGCTGCACCAACCTGTGTTCTTCTGTGACAAGTCATCAACTTCACAAGTTTGCATCTGAATACCCCAATTCCCTGAGAAGTCTTCCCTACAATGGGAAAAATACTTTACTACAGGAGGGAAGAAGTAAGTTTTCTATGGCTTCTTCTATATTTACTATGAGAAACCATAGAGTACTTTTTGCAGAAGACACCACTTAGGATTTCAGTTCCTATTTCATTTATTACTCAGTTACTATCTTGTCTGATATCAGCAATTTCATCACTTCTTCCACCACAGGGCCAGTAAAATGTAGATAATTCTTGACGCTTTTTCACTTACTATATTTTCAGAAATCGTACAATGGCCCAAAATCCTACAATCTGCACCATGCTTGACCATCTTCACTAAAGCATGCTTCAAAATATTGTCTTCGCTTTATATGGTTTCATCCTGTCATGAACTGGCAAAAATCCACTGCTGATGTGGTTTCACAAGGTCCTCCCTTCCTCCTTTTTAAGAAAAATCCTCACTCAGCTAAGAAGAAGAGCAACCAGTTATTAGTAAGGAACATGAAGAGAAATGGGGAGGAGGATTAGCAAAGAGGGAGGAGAAGAGGAGAACTCTCAAATGTCAGATAGGGACATCTTGGCTTAATAAGGCTGAGGAGCCCGTGAACAGGAACAGCCTTGGTGCATCTCAGTGTAGTAACAGAAACAGCCAGGAGGCCAGACTAAAATAGGTCTGAAGCCCAAAGTTGTCATGACACGACTCAGAAATCAGGGGGATGAGGGAAACAGAATTACGTGGTTGTGGTGGCAGATGCTCCCCAGACTTCCCACAGGTTAGTTAGCCAGGGAGAGAAAGACTGACTGTGCAAATTTATCTGAAACCCACATATTTGCATAATTAGCCCTAATTTCCCCATGGGGTTAATTTTCTGCCCATTGTTCGAACTGTCATTCTCACTTTCACACTGGATGGGACAAAGCGTGCTTTTTAGAATCATAGAATAACTGATTTGGGATGGAAGGGACCTTTAAAGGTAATCTAGTTCCAACCCCCCCTGCCTTGGGCAGGGATATCTTTCCACTAGGCTGCTCAGAGGCCCATCCAGCCTGGCCTTGAACACTTCCAGGTATGAGGAGCCCACAACCTCTCTGGGCAACCCGTTACAAAGTTTTTTGATTTCAAAAGCTCTGCTTCCTCCTTTCCTTGTGCCAGTGCTTGATAGCTGAACCAGACAACCCAAAACCCAGGGTCACTTATTTAATACCAAAGAAGGTATTCAGAAATTTAAGCAGTGCAATGGGGAGGTGGCTGATCTGTCAATAACTCTTCCACTGCTGGGGATTTTTTGCTTAGATTTCACATTTCCCTCGTTCCATCCCACTTACCGTGTTGTCTGCTTGATGAGTCACACAAAGACAGCAAGAATGACAAGCAGGACAAAACAGATAGCTGTTAGAACAGAAAATCAATACCGTTAGCATCTGGTGTTATCTTAATAATTGCAGAATTTTTCCATGTTGCCCCATTGCTTTGCTCCCTGGGGCAAACAGGACCTAGCCAGAGGTGACTTGGGCAACTAGAGATTGACCACAGCCAAATGGCCAGGGACTACTCATGTTGTGGTCTCTGGAGTAATTTGCAAAATCCTTCCTTCCTTTATGTCACACCATTATTTCTCCTCATTATAATGTGCACCACAGTCATGGGCAGACTCCAGCTGGAATCAAGAGCCCTTGTGCAAAGTCTTGAACACGGGCATAGTAAGAGACAATTTCTATTTCAGAGGCTAATGGCTGAATGGAAGATGGGGAAGGGGGAGAAGAAAATCTCTGCAGACTGATCTAAATGCATCAGTTTAGCTGGGAGGAAATGTTTTGTTCGACCATCTTTTTTTTTATTCCTCTGAAAATGTGAAAGGAACACATCCTTGAAATATTTACTTTTTTTTTCCAGTTGAAGTGATTCACTGAATTCACAGAAAGTCTCAGAGAAGAATCTGAAAATGGTTTAATTTAAAAACTAGGCTTTTGGTTGATCTGTTTTCTTTTACATCCCTTATGAGCCTAAGAAATCTTCTTTATAAAAAGCTTAAGTGCTTAAATAATCTGTTTATGCTGTCTCTAGTAACTTGCCCAATACATGGATGTAGGTTTTTCTTGAAGTATATTTATTAGCTTTTCTAACAGAAATAGAGCTGTTTGGTAGAACAGCAAATTGAAAGGCAAAATAACTGCTCTGGGTGATTGAGTGAAGTCTTCAACAAAATGACATACCTGTCACTGGCAGTGTCACTGAGGAGGAAAGGGATGGATGAGTCAAACCTATGAAGAGAGAGAAGTTCTTGATTTTTGTGTCAGTTTTCTCTTCTGACAAACAGCATCAGAGCAGTGATGAGGACACAGTCAGGCAAAGAACCAGCTTGCTCCAGCATCAAAGCAGTGGTGAGGGTAGAGTCTGATGGCTCCCCCTCTGCACAGAAGAATTAATAATTGCCATGTTTGTTTTTCAGCCATCAGTAGATGTTTCCAGCCTGGATATCAACATATGTGCTGATATGATATCTGTTAATGGTGGACATGAAGTGAACTGGAATGGGATCCATCTAAGATCTCTATTTCATATGAGATTGGGAAGGATGACTTTCAGAGTGCCAAGCTAGGATTTGCAAACATGGTTTCAAATAGGACATGTTTGTGCCCAGAAATATAAGCCAGAACTTCCCCGGTGCAAAAAATTCATCGGATTTCTCTCTTATCCCTGAAAGGAATCTCTGAACTTGTGCCAGTATGAGATATGGAGGTTTTTAACAAGAGGTTCTGCAAGAGTGGTCTGTTGATAAATCTCTTTGTGCTGAGCGCTGGGGGAAGAACTGAGAAAGGGGAGGATATTTCTTATCAAGCTTCACTGAAGATATCACATCATAACAAATAGAAAGGCAACACTTTAGGGGAATAAATGTTTGGTGCTCTAATTACAAGGACCTGACCTTGCTTAGGTTTGAGTGCATTTTGCAGGAAACTGGAATTATTGTTCTGCTGAATTAAAAGCTGGGGGCCTATTTCATTTTCTAGTTTCATGTTTTTCATTCATAATCCTAATTTTAAAATTTTGAAGTATTTGTAATTTTAAAATACTTATAATTTCTGACCATTCAATAGGTTGTATCATTTTCTAGGACTGGTATGTTGGTGGATTAGCAACATACAGCAAGAAGTGCTTTCACCCTGATAGTACCAAGCAAAATTTTCAATGGAAAAAATATTACTGTTGTGATGGAAGAGGAAAGACCAGACAACACATTGTTACTGATGTACCTGGAACACTCTGAACTGGGCACCACACGGAAACAGAGGGATCTATGAAATAGGGGAGAAAGTCCTGGGTTAATGCTGAAAGAGAGTGTCAGGTGAATCAGGCCATTCATTCTTACAATCAGAGTAGCAAGGAGAGCCAACAATGGCCAATTGTCACCTGAGAGGTCACTCTGCAAACAAAAGGACCTGCCCAAACCATCCTGCTCTGCCACATGGTCTGGTGTGGTCACAAGGGCTGGAATTCCTCTCACCTACTGTTCTGGGTGGCCTCTGAGATAGTCCTCCAGGCTGACCTATAGTCACTGGGGAGAAACAAGCCTTTGCAAGGGATAATTCATCTAAAATAGATGTGAAATAGGGCAGCTAACAGAGCGCCACCAACACCTATCCCCTCTGTTGGTTATAAAGGCAATCCAACTCAGATGTGGGCACCCATGCAGTAGACATTTACAGTTCTGTAAGATTATTTTCCTCTTAAAGCTCAAAGTACTGGTGAAACCTGTTTTTTTTTTCTCTCCAGTCTGTTGGTAGGAAAAGTCCTCTCGTGTTGTCCTTGCATTGGCTCCCACCTCATTAAAATTTATTTCACTTCACTGACCCAGAGGAGGGTAATAGAAGCCTGTGGACTGTAGAGGGTGTGCACAGCTGGGTCTGTCCACCTTCAGTAGTTCTGCTTGATGCCCAGAGAGAGCCCCTCAGTGCAGTCACAGATGCAATTTTGCAGTTAGTATGAAAGACAAAGTAGGATGCAGCTGTGTCCTCCCCAGAGGTGTCATCTCCAGCAGTCAGAAATGACATCATGTCAGAGCTCTGAGTTACCTGATCCCTCCATCCCGAACCCCCCAGTAGGTTGTTCCCTAGGATTGATATGCTGAGTTGGGTGGTCTGGACCCTGCATGAACAGGCCATGACAGTGATGTGGTGCAATAAAAACCATCTCACCTGGTTCAACAGTCTGTGGTGGCCACGTGTTGGTGCATCTCATGTCGAGGGGGGTCCAGGTGATGTTGCCGTTCACGTTCTCGCACGTGCTGGTGCCAGAGGTGGGGGGTCGCTTATCATAACCACTCTGGCATTTGAAATGTAGCATTTGTCCCGTGTAATAGGGTTTCTTCACTCTTATGGAGGCATGTGGAACAGTCTTGGGGGGACCACAAAAATCTGTGGGATCAGAAGGCAGCACACGGCTAAAGCAGATAGATTTCACACACTGCTTTTGCTCTTGAGAATTATGATTTGCATTCTTACAAAGTACAGACAAGCAGGATATACCAAGCCTTCCTAATTCTTGGTTAGGATATAAAATACTCATTTGCTTACATCATATCACTTACTTGGTCAAGATATTACAGCAACTGTTTTTTTCCCTCTGTCTGCAAAGCAGTTAAATATTACTCAGCACTCTTACACTGCTTCCATGGAAATCAGTGTGAGAAGTGTTACATTATTGGATGGGCTCTTATTCACAATTTTGGGCAAACTCTGAAAAGTCTTCTTGCTTCTAGGGTGCAAGGCTCCTTGTTTTAATTTCTGGTTTCTGTGTAAATTCTAACTCCATTGTGGGAGCTGTTGGCAACAAAATTTTCTTGTCTGTGCTAGAAGTTACACTTGCTGAATTACAGTAGGATGAATACCAGAGCAAAGCCAGAGCACCCAAACTTTGAGGGGTGGGATAGAACTGTTTAAAGTTCTAACTTGCAAAGATAAGTGCAGAAGATCATTTGTTAGAGCGGTGCGCAGCTGTGTCTTATATTAACTAACTCATTGGAAAAACACCTCTACAAGGTCTTACAGTAATGGATGGGCTCCTACTCACCTTTCTGATCAAACTCTGAAAAGTTTTCTTGCTTCTGGGGTGCAGGGCTTTGTGCTTCACTCTCTGGCTTCTGTTTAAAATGTAACTCGGCCGTGGGACCCGTTGACAGCAAAGTGTTCTTATCTGAGGAGAAGTTACATTTGCTGAATTACAGCAGGACAAAGAGAAGAACAAAGCCAGAGCACCCAAACTTTCAGAGGTGGGATGGAACTGCTTCAAGTTCTAACTTGCAAAGGTAAGCACAAAAGATCATTTGTTAATGCCCAGCTGTGTTTTGTACCAACTAATGCATTGGAAAAACACCTCCATGTATAGGAAAAGGACAACACTCACTTACCAATGCATTCAAATCCACTGTAGTCCCAAAAGGCACCCTGCTGTCCACTGTTACACTGAATTCCTGGGTGATGGCCACTTTTTCTGTCATAGTCACTGTCACATACATAGTACATCTTGGTCCCTGGCACATACATTTCAGCAGTAACATCAGCAAATTCAATCCTTGGAGGATCTGGGCAACCTTCTGCAAACGGAAAGCCCAAGAATCAGGACAGCCTGTCATTCTGCTTTATCCATCTCACATCTTTCTGTCTTCTGAATACCAGACATGTCCAGCAGATGGGCAACACGAAATACTACCAACATTTTCTTGATGAAGCTGTACACAATCATATTGGAGAGCAGTTAGTGGGACCAGAGTGTGCAGCCCTGAGCCTATGGAGTGAGGCACAATGAACCAAACTAAGGTATTAAAAGTTGCAATCATCTATAAGCAAATCCTGGGAATGGGTGTAGACTCGCAGTTCTGTCTGAGTACACCAAAGAGCAGCTTACTGTGAAATAAGTTTGCAAATGTAACGTGTCCCAAAACAAGGACGTGAAATGTTGTGTCATCAGCAAATCACATCTAAATACACTTCTCAGTAAGTTGGAATGAATTAAGTTAGATCATTTCAGTGCACTTGAAAAGCCCACTGAATCTGAGTTGGAGACCCAGAAGTTGATAAAAGCAGTACTTAATGATTATTTAAGGACTAAAGGCTGAGAAATTATAAGATAAGATAGGCTGGTTGCAATAGGGCTGGCGCTCTGCATCTTTGGGTGCATGATCTGTGGCCCTTTATGCTTGTGCATTATAGTAACAGCTATTATGAGTAAAATTTCTTAGTCATCTTGTCCTCACATTTTCTGCAGCCGTAATTAATGCAGCCTTAGCAACCACTGAGAATGACTGCGAAAGGTTCCTGAATCCCTGATAGCTGTTCATCATCTGGTGTCTGCCCTTGACTCCCAAAGTGCCTTCTCCTTGAAAGACCAACAGCAACTGAACCTGCAGCTCCCAGCCCCAGCCCTGCAATGCCCTTTTCTTTCATTTCCTCGCTTTGATCTTTTATGCCCTTTTTACTTTTCATCATCTTGCTGCTTTAGTAAAAGTCACAAAGTTTGAAGAAGGCAGCAGTGAAAAACACGTGAGCAGCTTAAAAACTAATCTGCATAAGGGATGTTTTAATCCCCTTGTATCTTCGTGCTATCAAAGGATTCGCTTTGTAAACTACATCAGACTGTGGCTTTGAGAGAAGCAACTGCACGCGAAATAGTTAACCACATGGTTTACCACAGACTGTCAGGGTGATTAAAATTAAAGAGTTATCAGATTAGCAGCAAGTTGAGATCATGTACTCTCACTTTCCCTGAAAGCTAAAAGCATGTTTCCCTCAAGACTTCAAAAGCCTCTTTGAAGCAGACTGCAGATGTGAATCTCAGCACAAGGCACTCAAACCTACAACTCATTAGTGTCTTCTTAAGAAAACCCACAACATTTAACCTACTCATCATAAAGGGCAAACACTGTTTTAGTTGATGATCAAATGAAGTTGGGTTCTTCTGAACTTGCACACATCAGACAAGGACTGTGCAGAAATGGTGCACATGGGAGATGGCGAGCAAAGCCCACCAGGCTGGATCAGCTCACCCACATTGCAACCTTCCTAGGATCCAGCCTTTTAATGCCATCCACATCACTCAAAAAAACCTCTTCTCACACCTAAATAGCTGCAGCATCTACTTCTTTGGCCTTTACCATATTCCTGTCTCTGATTCAGAAAGAATTTTGATAGATTAATTTCCTAGATCTCATTGTGACCTTCTTCTTGCCTCCCTTTGAGTTCTATCTGCTTCACTCTCACGTCAAATATTTTGCTTTCACTTTCAAGAACCTTCTCCTTAGCAACCATCATAACCTTTCAAAACATTGGGTTCTCTTCACATGCTATTGCTCCTCACCAATGTGTTTGATATCAAAGTCACCAGCTTTTGGGGTTTTTGCTGTACCAGTCTTCACACTGGGAGGAGCTGTGCATGAATAATATGGATATTGCAAGATACCCATTGCCATTATTGCTCTTCACTGTCCCAAAGTATCTTATATATCTTCAGATGTGCTTGTCTTTAAGTGGTCTTCTACTCATCTTTCGAGAACAGGTAGGCACTCAACATGCAACCCATACAACCTCCTGTCAGGTTGAAGTGATAAGGTCCACCCTGAGCCTCCTTTTCTCCAGGCTGAGCCCCTCCCCAGCTCCCTCAGACACTTCTCATCAGACTTGTGCTCCAGACCCTTCCCCAGCTCCATTGCCCTTCTCTGGACATGCTCCAGCCCATCAATGTCTTTCTTGTGTTTCATGCCATGGGACCTCCTGGTACAATATGGGAAGACTGTGCAGAGAGGAAGCAGACCTGGTGAGGTCTTGGATCATATTCCCTACACAGGATGATCTCTGGAGTGAAGCATGCCTAAAACTTCATTCCATCCTTGTGCCCAAGGAAACTGCATGGTTTGCTCCTAAAAAAATCACCATCCTTGCTGTGTGGGTGGTAAAAGAGCCAAGGAATGGGAAGAAGGCAGGGAACTAGGGATTTGCAGTATAGATTTACTCCTTCACTAGAATTCTGATTTTTAGAGGAAATTAACTTTGCTCTTTTTTTTTGCTGTTTTGCACCTGGTTGGGAATTAGTCTGTCCATTTGTTTGAGTTGGTGTGATACAAAGATATTCATCTTACAAAAAGCCAGCAAACCTGGGCAGAACCTGCCTCGCAGCCTGTGGTGGCTCAATTTTGCACAACCCAGCTTTCATTGGGTTCTGCATCCAACAGAGCTGCTCCAGGGCTGGACTCCTGCTAGTATTGGTTTAAAATACTGCCCCCCACATAGCCTTCATAGCTCTTGAGGTTCTGTTTGCATCCTCATTTTCCCTGCCCACGTATTCTAATTTTTCATCCCCATGGTGAGGTGTTCAGTGTCACTAATTTTTTCTCTTTCAATCCCAACGTCCACTGTTCTCCCTTTCCTTAATTCACAAGATTCGTCATCTCTCTACCTACCATTCTCATCTCCCACGCTCCAAAAGTACCCTGGGAATGCATTTCTCTGAACTTAGAGGTACTGAATGGACCAGAGAGGTTGATGTAATTGTATTCATGGGATTTACCCCTTCTATCAGCTGCAGAATTGTGAAAACACGTAGCTCTCCTGAGGCAGAGGGGAATTTCTGTTTCTCCCCATATTAGTGGATTTTTAGTGCCTACAGCAATTCTGGAAATTCTGGAGATGGTTTCAATTATAATTATGAAGTAGATGGAGACAAACCCTTGGAATTAGAAGGAGAACTCAGACAATAGTGAATTCAGACAATAGACATCCATGAAACATAAAAAGTATTTTTGCCTCTCCTGGGGGTCAGAGAAGTTGATAAGTTTTTTGAGACCTGCAAGCCTTGTCATCTGAGCCAAAACATAGGTGGGATTCCTGCTATCCCTGCTTAAGCTAAGAAGCCTGATGCTATTTGAGGTGTTTCAGAGCCCCTCGACATCCACATCAGCTGTCTGGTATCACACAGGACTTAGTGGAGGGAAAGAAACCCAGTAGCTACATCAGCATTAGTTCTTTCAGCACTTCATTTCTTCCCTGAGGATTCCCATTCACGTATGTTACGGACCCAACCACAAAACTGCTCTTAGTATTAGGATTTATGAAGCTCTCCTGCCTACTTTTTTCATGTCTGAGTTGGCAGAGCAGTGATAGATGAGGCATCAGAACAACACCTTTTGTTCGTGAGAAGTGAACAGGGAAAATTTTGTAACAGGTATTTTTAGCATTAGGTAAAACACAGACAGTGAGTCACACCATGATAACCTGAACTCAGAATTTCCTCTGTCACGTGGCTGTGTGTCACCAGCACTGACATTATTCTGACGTGAAATTAAAATGTCAAGGTGCAGAAATAGGATGATTTTCCCCTAAATACGAAGGCAGTAAGACAGGATCAGTAGGAAACTGGATGTTCTGAAGATTTGGGCAGAAGCAGTGGAAGAAACCAGGCACTTCACACAGCTGCCCAGTTCAGAGAGGAAAAGCACCTCTCCCCAGAGAGAGCAAGAAATCAAACGAGGCCAAAATGAAGATATTTCCCCAGATGTGTCTGTAGAGGCAGAGCAGCCCTGAGGATTCATGTGCTGTGTGAAACTGTGTGCTCTCTAAATGGCCTCTTGAAGATGAAACTGGTGTGAGTGAAGAGAAGGAATCGATACTGACAACTGGACCGAAATGGTAATTAAATTTTTCTAACTTCAAAACTTAATCCCCAAGGGTCTGTTAACAAGCAAGCCTCAGCTCTGCAGGATTCTTTCCCCTCCTATTAATGTCATTTACTGTTTATGTGGATTTGTAAGCTGGGAATAGATGCCAGCTGTGGGGCTAGAGTGCAGACCTCAAGTTTATGGTAATTTGTCTATGGGATTTTATTTAGCTATACATTAGATTACACAGATGTTATCTTATAAAATCATTTGACCAGGCACAAGTGTTAATGCAAAGAGTGAAGGAGGAGAGATCAGCCTTATAAGGCAGGAGATGGGTTTGAATATTCCCAGCAGTGGAGAGGAGGCACGTCCTATCTTAAGGACTAGGCAGTTCAGTGCCTGATGAGTTTGCTGTACAAATGTCTCTGTTGGAAAGGTAGTATAAAATAAACTGGAATATAAGCCAGCAGGAGCTGTCCATTAACTTCTTGTAGGACCACAGAAAACTAGATTTGGGAGAAATGCACTTGTATTATCTCCTGGCTTCATCATGCTGACCAGCTGTTTGCCACTGACCCAGGCAGTGGAATCTAATGCAAAAAACAATTCCATATACATCAAGGCCAGAGTTGGTTGGACAGTGGATTAGGCTTTCTCATGCTAAGCATAATTTAGCCTCAGGAATCTGCCTTCTTAGCACCTTCCGTAAGAAGTGGAGCTGGGTAGACCTCTCTAGAAGACAGCAGACATCTAATTTAACTTCTCTAAAGCAAAGCTTAAAAGTGCTTCTCTGTTTTTATCAGCTACAGTGGTGGAAGGATGCTGTGACATGCTCACATTGATAATTAGGGTCATTTACCTAATGCATTGATGAATCTCACTCCTACCCTATCAGGGAGGCTGAGCTGGGGACTTGGACTGAAAATGTGGAATTGAAAGAGCATTAGGACAGAGGGAGAGTGCTTTCTAAAGCAGGGAGAGGGAGAAAAACTAGCCTGAGCACAGAGTGCTGCATAGAAAATGTACTAAGCGAAGAATGGGGAACATTTATGTTTGTTTCTGTGTGTTTATAACATCCTTGGCTCTGTGGTGAAGCCACAGAGATCAAACTCTTTAAAGGGAACCACGACACATGGTTTGGTAGCAGAACACAGAGTAAGGTTTTGAGAATATCATGCATGAAAGCCTTGTTTGGGTGTGCAACATTTGGGGTTTGAATAGATTTGGCTACATTTTCGCTTAAATCTGCTCCCTCAGTAAAACCCATGCCTTTATTGTCTTCATCTAAAAGGAAAAACAAATTACTGAGAAAGAAAATTGGCTTTTTAAGCAGCAGCAGAGATTCAGATTCTTTTCTTTGCCTGGAACTTTCTCAGTCTTGCCTTTTGTAGGACTGAAAGGATGGCAGAGAATATCCTCTCTGAAAATAATTGAATGGTCTGACAAGTGTGTGTCCCTGTCTTGGGTAACAGTGAAAAAATGGTCTGGTGGAGCTTTTTTGATTTCACCTCATTTGACTTTTGGACTTAGCATTGTTATGGAGCTTTTCACTGAAGCTCTGAAGATGGAAATTTTCTGTACATGTAGATGATTTTTCTGGCCTTGAATGAAATACTTTCCCACATAACAAGGGAAAGTATATTCTGTATATTCTTTATCTGAGGGCTTTACAAATCAAGAACATAAAGAAAAATCAGCAGACGACAGAGTGCTGCTACCCTGGCAGGGCTGAGGAACAGGGAGTCAAGTGAGGAAAGCCATGGAAGGATTTTGGAATGGTGAGTTTTGGAGAAGCATGGAGGAGACGGAGCAGAGACTCAGATATCCAGGCTGTTCCAAGATTCAGGACCAGGGTCAGGGAATGCAAAATATCGGTAGAAAATATCCAAAAGCTGGGCTTTTAATGCAAGAGGGAAAACAGGAGAAACAAAGCTGTACATTGAGAAGGAATAGCAGGGAGAAAAAAATTGCAACACTCTGAAGGCAATAGCAAGCAAAGTCAAAAGCAGTGGCTTTCTAGAAGTAGATAAAGAGTGGATTTTTTTCTGCAAAAAAAGGAAGGGACATAACATCTCATCTCTGATGAAGAGGGAAGATAATTTCTCCAGATGAAGGAAGAAGTGGATACTGCAGGATCTCTCTCTGTAATACCTGCTTGTCCTCAGTAGCATCACAATATTTAACAATTTTTTTTAACCTTTGTTTTTTATTGAGGCTGTATATTAGGCATTTTGCTGCTGAGGGCCACTGTGGCTGAAAGGTTTATAAAGGTTTTTTCTCTGGTTGACCTTACAAGAAACACTTGTACATGTTTGACAACTTTAATGTATTCTGCATTGCATTTCAAATCCATGGGAGCCAGCACTAATATGCAAGTATAATGGGAAAGAAATTCCTCTCATTTAAATGACAGAGATCTGGTACCCATCTTGTGTGAATGAAATTCACTTGAATGAAATTCTTTCTTTTGTGAGTTTTAATCCTTTCCAGGTTTCACTTGCAAATCTATTCAATGTATTCCTGTGAGATGAACAGCAAGATGGAAAGGTTGTAGGAGCACAGACCAGTTTTTACCTTGTGTTTGATCCTTGCTTCAAGCCTAATCCATGCCTGCAGCTTCTAGGTATTGCTGCTGTGCAGAGTAAAGGAGATAAATGTGATGATCTTCACAAGAAAGTCGGCATTTCTCTTCTCTTTAACACTAAGGAATAGTTTAATTTTTATTAAATGAATGATCATCCCACACCTTAGTTTTCCTACTTTTTTGTCAGAGAACTTTGCCTTCTCAAAGCACTTTGAGATCTATTGGTGAAACTGTTCTGTAAAAAAGGGGTTTTTTATATTCTTTTTCCTCTAATTATGCTTATTCCTGGTAGTGGATTTTGCCAAACAATGTTTAGGGCAGGATCTATTTACAAACTTGAACATGCAATGCTGGGATGAGCTGAAAAGACAGAGGCAAAATAATAAGAAAAGCACTATATGTGCTGAGACATGGTTGATTTTTGACCACTTTGACCCAGCCTATTCCTTTTACTTTGCTTATATCTGTTCCCAGGTCTCCTTGTTGATCCTCCTAAGGAATTAAAAACAACAGGTCTTACAGCCACAATACCTCAGGTGTCTCTACAATTAAAAACCCTTAATTGGTAAAAGGTGGTATTTCTAACTTAGCATATTATTTGCAGGGAGATACCTATATAAATACACATATATATATATATTCTATAATTACAAATATATATATAAATGTTATGTTTAAACACTGAGAGAGACATTGAAAATAAACACAGGAAGCTGAGGAAAGAAGAGCTTAGTAATACAGTGAAGAATGCAATGCTCTGCATTTATTAATTCACCAGCAAATTAAATCACATCAAACAGCATAAAATGCAACTGCTCTAACACCCCTCTATTCTTTTTTTTTAATTTTTTTTTAAAAAAAAACCAGAAAGATTTCTGATAAACGAGACTTGCCAGCAGGAAATTTCACAACATGTTCCAGGCACAGTAATACAGAAAATGTGATCTGGGGAACCTGACTCATCCCAGAACTGATCCTACTGACGCATCTCTGGCTGAGCGTCTCGCAGTGATGCTCCTGCACTCCCTGAAACACTTGCCGTGGGCACTGGCACTTCATTTGCCAGGGAAAATGCCCCGTGAAGGAGAAGGTACAGCATTTACTGGCAAAACACTTCAATGACACAAAAAAAAAAAAATCACCTGGGGGTTAAACGTTTGTGAAGGTCCTTCCTGCATTAATGAGTTTAGTTGTTAGTAACACACTCTTCCCTTGGGATGGCAAGCCCCGAGTAAAATTCCCAGCCCTGCTAAAGATGATCCATCAGCAGTTACAGCACCAGCATATCTGAGAACCTGCCTCAGGCTGTATGTGCTCATACCTCTCAACCTGGACACCATCATCATAGAATCACAGAATATGCAGGAAATATCACTTTTATGGAGCACTGAGAATGGAAGACTTTTCTTTCCCCCTTTGAACAAAATTCAAATACACTAATATATATCACCAGACTGTTTCTCAATGTACACACCTGTCACAATAAACAAGCCAAATATAAGCAATATCACCATTTATAAATGTGTAAAATTAAGCTGAATGAATTAGCTGCCTCCATTCACAGTTTATAGGTGCCACTGGTTGGGAGGCATGGCTGAAAAATATTTCATATCTGTAGTACCTGTAGCAAATTAGGATGGTGCCCTTTAACTAATAGCATTGCCATCAATTTTACCTACAGAGGTACTGACATTTCAGTGTCTATTTTTATATTTGCTGAATTTACAAGCAAAATGGAAAAAGCTAATTCAAAGAGCTACCCAAGGCTGCTTTGATCTGCCCACTGTTCCAATGATGAGTTGGAGGATACATACATTACTCAGACAAAAAATATCCTGTAAAGCTCTGGATTTTCTGCAGCTAATGGTTTGTGGCCACAAAACCCATTTCTCTCATTTCCTTAGAATAATAAATTCCTTAAGGTCTAAACATCTTTCCTTAGCTGAAAGGGGTCGGGATGTTGCGAACATCCTCCAACACCCCCACAAAGAAACCCAAATCACATTTTCCCTCCCCAAGAGGCAAAAATAGTCTTTTACCTCGCTTGTTCCCCTTGATGAATCCAAACAAGAGCCACATCAAAAGGCACTTGAGCTCCATGGGGCTTGTCCACATCTCTTCCCTGCACCGCCGAGGACGGTGAAGTTCCTCAGAAGCGATGAGCTGCTGCCAACCAAGCCAAGGAGCCGGTCACTGCATGGTTAGAGCAGTGAGGAGCATCACCCCATGTGTGCAGGGAGGACTTTGGTCAGAAAATAGTTGTTTTGCTGCCTGGCTCCACGGGAGAGAAAAAAGGCTGCTTTCTGTTCAGGTATTAGTAGCTTTTATCCAGGAAATCAAGCTTCATGCTCGGCGTGGCGGAGCGTGCCATCGCGAGTAGGAAGTGGTTTGACACATCAGAGCTGCTGACTCCAGAGCTGTTTCACTACAGCTGAGGTCAGTAGAAAGGGGTAAGATTTTGGTAGGTTTGTGCAGGCACTCAACTCCAAATCTGTGGCTGGATGGATATTGGAGAGGGACCATCGCTGTGGAATAGTTGTCTGATAGGTGTATGACGATGGACCTCAGGCACCACCTGTGGGCTCTATCTACAAAGGAATGGTTCCATAGGCTATATTTTTGGCTTTTTGGAGGTCTTCTGCTTATGATGATAAAGCCACATTGTGTTTATTTTTGTTGTAAGCATGTTTACAGTTTCTCTGAATCACAGCTGAGGTTCTGAAGGATGGATGGTTTGATCAAACAAACAAAAAGCCCCATGAGGACGAGGCTGGCAGGTAGGGAAAGGTTTTGCCTTGTTCCTAAATTATCTGCATGTGAAATGCTTCAGTGAAATTCTTCCAAATGTCAGTGAAAAACTGGAAATGATCAAGGAAGTATCAGACTTTATGTAGGTTCTTTTTAGCCACTTCCACAGAAATTATTTCTTGTTAGTATCTCAAGAAGTAATTGGGATAGACTATGGTAAAAGCAGATTTAAACTAACTGTGGTATTCTATCATGATTACTACACGCTAGGCATTTACTTCTGCCTTATAAATCCTTAATAAATTAAATCTTCTTAACAGGCATGCTAAGAAATTGATGTGAAACATTTTTAAATGCTGCTACAGCTGCATCCGTCAATCTCCTACTTCTCTCTGGATGAATCTCCCTTTGCCCTTTTCATGAAAGATTTTGTGCTGCTTCACTGATGCAGGTGACAAGTCCTCCTGGGGGGTTTGTCAGCTATGAGGCTTTGGCCAGGAGATTACCTCCCAAATCCAAATGCAACAGGGCAGGGAGAACAAGCAAACCTTCTGAAGCAACTGCTGTGGGTAAAATGCTCTGCTCACCCCAGGGCTGCTTTGTGCTCCACAGATATTTACTGCCCTTGATTTAAAATCAAATCATCTTCCCTATTTAACAGTATAACAAGAAAAGCTCATGTCAAAGCCCACTGAAGGATTTAGAGAGTTTTACTCCTGAAAAATATGTCTGAAAGTCTTAGTCTCCAGTTCTCTACCTTTTTCCAAGATGCCTGGAAATATGCAACTACCTGAACTCTGTGGCCATCTGGGCTGGTAAAACATGTTTGTTATGTTGCCCAGAAAGAAATCCTTAACTTTTAAACACAATTTTTCCTTTCCTCACCAAACATGGGGTCTGTTCTTTGGATGTGCAGGGATTTACTCCACAACATCTGCTTCTATTTCTTGCCTGGCCAAACTATTTAATTTTCCGTACCTGTTTGCATGATGAAGACAGAGATAGGGGACCTTTTCTGCAGTCCTTTAGTTCAATCTTTCATGTAGCCATTTGCTTTCAAGATGCAAATCTCAGTGTAGGTGGGTAATAGCCATTTACGTTTGGTTAGAAAGGGTGAGTTTTTATCCAGGTCTGAACATGAAATGTGAGTTGTACTGGAAGGAACGGTGACCCCAGGTGGCTAATTGCTGCAAACACAGTTTGCATGAGAAAGATCCATAACTCGGCGTTTAAGCCCTTTAAAGGTCAGAAAAAAACGGTTATGGCTTGTGAGAGGTAATAGTCAGGTCAGCTTTGTGAAATAGGTCAGTTTGCTAAACGACTCCAGAAAAAAAAACGGTGATGCTTCTGCAAGGAACTGACCCAAAACAGAGCGAGGCAAAGAAGGGTAGGGTGAGAACAGAGGGACCCAGCAAGGGGGAAAGGTATCCAGGCACAGAAAAAAACAGGGCTTATGAGAAAAAATCATAACTAGCATTATAATTTAGATGATAAACATGAGATATTAGCAAAAGAATTAGGTGTGGCAATAAAGGAGGGGATGGACTGTGAAAACTCAGTGGATACCTGGAAAGTGGTGGAGGGAAACACAAAAAAAAGCATCTTGAGATCTAGGAAGGTGTGGGAGGAAAAGAAGGTGCTGCTGTCTCCGTTGCTCTTTGACTTTCTTCCGTTGATCACCAGAGTTTTGCTGCTGGGAGAAGTTCTCTGTTTCAGCAGAGACTGGGAGGAAAGGTGCCTCTCACGTAGCTCAGGCCACCACAGACAAGATTATAAAGATTATTTTTGTTCAGTGCCACAAGACCGCAAAAGATGCACAAATGGAGTTGTCAGGGAGCAAACCACAGGCACAGCTCACAGCTCCAGCTTTTTTTGGCCTAGGTTTAACAAGGGCCTTTTGAAATCCTGCAAGTGCTTTTAAAACTCCAAGTACACAAACTCATTTGGTCTAGGGGTCTGTCCTTTCTTTAAACTGGTTTCTAAGCCAGCTTGAAGAAAGGACAACACTGTGATCTTACTGCAGCTCTTCTCAGTTCAAACAAGTGATAAACATCCACATAATTCACTAAAATAAACAAGCTTTGTGTTTTCTTCTACTTTTTTTTTTATGTGAATCACTCTTACACAAATATTCTATTCAAGGGAATAACATTTTATACCGAGCTTCCTAGGGAAGAGTCTGGGGGTGGCTTTAATAGCTAAATAAACTCTGCAATCAGTATTGCTTATATGTCCTTAAAATTATGGTAATGGTGGTTGTAGACTCACAGGATGCACAAGGGCCACACACAGGGCCCCTCCCAACCTGCACAGCAGCATCCAGCTCTGCTGCAAAGCGGAGGAATGGGGAAGCCTCAGTTATTCCAAGTCCCTGAAATGACCATCAGAAATTTTTCATCCAATCTAATTATTTATAGTGGTCAAACTGGTTTTAATCACTTTTTCTTTCCCATGAAAGCGAGATGGAACTGACACGAGGCACACAAATTTCTCATCTGAAGTGAAGGGTATTGCAAGGATTTGGGTTCAATTCAAGAAGGAGTTCTACAGTCAGCACAGTTGTCAAAGTTCCCCCTTGAGTCAATGGAGAGTCAACAAGAGCATCTAGAGAGTGATTCACCTCCTCTTCTGGACATCCACATCCACCAGATGAATCAGTCTTCTCAACTTCTCTCCCTCCCATCTGCAGGCAATGGTTAAACCAGCATAACTAGGTTAAACCAAACATGGGTCTTTTAGGTAGCTTCAGCTGCACGAGAGAAATCCATCCTGAAACCCCTACTGAATTTGGAAATAGAATTTAAATTGCTTATTTAGTGACTGAGAACAGTCTTTCCTGTCAAACATTCTGGATGTGGTTCATTACACTCTTATTAATTATTCCTTTCACTGATTTCACTGAGTTCTGTGATAAATATGTGAGGACCATAAAACTGAAAGGGGCCTTGCAAACCCAGTACTCAGTGTTGGGCTTAATTCATCAATCAAATCCTGCTTGGTTGGTGCCTGGGGTTAAACCACAACATCGTCATTGTGTAGGGGTTTTTTTGTCTGTTCTCCAAAATTATCAGGTTAGTATACAGCAACAGCCAAAAATCCCCCCAGAAATCAGACACCAAGCACATTATTATTACAATAAAACAGTGTCTAATGAGCACATCTGGAGGAGACTGAATTTTTAGTCTCTTTCTCCTCAGACTTAGTGTCCAGCTGAACTCCTGGCTTATGCGAAAAATTCTTGATATATTTAGTTTCCGTGTAGTGAGTGCTGGCACAACTTCCTTAATACATCAGTGCCTAGATTGGGTTCTTTAATATTTCCCTGTGCAAATACAACTGAATAGTACAGATAACTTCCTTCCTATTCTTACTTGCAATCACCAGCCCTTTGACCTGAGCAGAAAAAAATCAGGAACTTAAATTGATAAAGGAAGCATATTATTGCATAATCATATCTGTTCCTTCTCTCCTCCTTTTTTACCATCAAGTATAGTCAATCAAGTATATTTAATGCTGTGAAGTGCACAAGTCTGAAGACAGCCTCTGCAGTGAGCTCCTTACCCAAGGCACCCTCTCTCTCTGCTTAATTTCCGTTTCACAATGAAAATGTAAAAAGAATTTTTACATTATCTGTGAAGTTATGGAAATATATCCTAGATGAATCATGAGGTGAGCACAAAAGTGACTGGAAAATCCCTGAAAAGAAAGTGCCCTTAAAATGGTTAAGAACTGTGTCGGATGGAAGAGCATGTTGAGTGGCACTGATTAACCACCAGAAGAGAAGGATGCATTGAAAGGTGGTTCCCAGGTTAGAATGTGGGTCTTTGGTTATTCAGTATTTTCAACAGTTACCTGGATGATGAATATAGACAAACTTCACTGCATTTGCAGAAGATGCTGGGCCAGGAAAAACTATAGAGGGCAGGAAAGAAATTCAAAGTGACCTCAATACGCTGGACAAAAAAAAATTAGAATGCAGTTTAAAGATTAAGTGCAAGTTTTATACACAGGCAGAATAAAACAGTGAAATGGAGTAGTGGCATCACTGAATAGATACCTGATCTTCAGAAAACGAACCAGGGCTTGCAGGCAGAAGACCAACTCACAGTGTCACACATTAAAAACTTTAATTCTGAAATGTATAACACATGCAAAGAAACCCCTTGTTCTGTGCTGGGACAATGAAGCCATGGATAGGGTGCTGTGCCTAGTTGTGGACACTACAGGTTGACAAAAACATAGAGAAGCAGGAGACAGTTCAGAGGAAAGCAGTGAGAATGACAAGATAGTTTAGGAAACCTCTTCTAAAAGAAAAGGCTGGATACCTTGAGGCTGTCTGAGGAACGATGATAGAGAGGGGGACTAGATAAGAGCCTTAGCAGTGGTAGTGATGGAGCTGATCTAAACATGG